CCCAACTCATAGCTACTCCAGTGCTGTAGTTTTTATGGAAAAAAGCTCTGGTAATGCCACTAGCTGCTTCCTTGGATAATGATGAAGCTGTGTGTTGGGATTGACTCGATGGCAGTAGGTGTAAAAATTTGTACAGAAACAGACTGCCACATCTTTGTACCATGAAGCAGCTAATTGGGTTCAAACTGCTGACCTTTTGGTTTGCAGCTGAGCACTTTAACCATTGCTTTACATAACAATGTGCATAAAAGCACTTTTATTGCATATATGTACATCTAGGGAATGATTGGTTTGATTGTAGGGATATAACTAGGTATAAAGAATTGGTGTTGATCAGGGCCCACCAAGCTCAGAGGTTGATAGCCCGACTCGAGGCAGCCAATGCACAGAGAGGATCATATGGCCAGCCCCACTGTGAGATGCGACATCCTGCACTTACCCATGGCCCTACATGTGACAGCACTGGAGACACAGTGTGGGATGTGTGAAGAGCTGATCCCACCACAGTGAGGCAAAACACTGGGGGTGTGCAATAGAGCGGCGGGGGAAGCAGAGCCAGGAGGTCCAGAGGAAGTATCAAGGATGGACTTTGGGGCCAGGGCCCCAAAAGGTCAACAAAAAGACCTTGAACTATTAACAGGCTTTTCTCTTTCTTTTTTTTAATTTTTCTTTTCTTTTAGATTTTGTATGTTGGTAGCCTTTTTGTTTGTTGGTTTGTCAGTGTTGCTGCCATCGTCGCCATGTTCTTATGTGCCACTTTGTTTGGTGGCAATTTTATGTGCATATTATTATCTCTGCAGGTCTTTCAAGATAAGATAGACTGGATAAACAATGTGAGAAGATAACAATGGGACCATGGGAGAATGGGAGGGGAGGGAGGGAGGTATTGGCTAACCAAGGGACAAGGGAACAACGAGTGGTTCAAAACCAGTGTCAGGGAGGGGATGGGAGGACTGGTAGGGAGTGACCAAGGGCAATGTAACCAAGAGGAATTACTGAAACCAGAATGAAGGTTGAACATGGTAGTGGGACAGGAGGAAAGCATAAGGAAATAGAGGAAATGAGTAGGGGGCAAAGGGCATACATAGAGGCCTAAATACAGACATGTACATATTTAAATATATTTATGATTATGGGGGGAAATAGATCTATGTGCATATATTTATAGGTTTAGTAGTAGGGTAGCAGGTGGACATTGGGCCTCCTGGCATGCATTCCCTTAATACAAGAGCACTTTGTTCAGCTATAACGGTCATTCCATGATACCAACCTTCCCGACATGATCACTGAAAACAAACATGTGCATAAGCAAACGTGGCGAAGAAAGCTGATGGTGCCCGGCTATATCACAAGATATAGCATCTGGGATCTAAAGGCTTGAAGGTAAACAAGCTGCCATCTAGCTCAGAAGCAACAACACCACAGGGACGAAGCACACAAGCCCGTGTGATCACGAGGTGATGAAGGGATCAGGTAGCAGACACCAAAGAACAAAAACCATCATTGTGGGATCACCTTCCCCATATAAACGCTGAAGACGAATGTATGCATAAGTAAGTGGGTGAAGAAGGCTGATGGTGCCCAGCTATTGAGAGATATAGCGGCTGGGGTCTTAAAGGCTTAAAAGTAAATAAGCGGCCATATAGCTCAGAAGCAACAAAGCCCACATGGAAGAAGCACACCAGCATGTGTGATCACGAGGGGTCAAGGGACCAGGTATCAAGCACCGGGGTGGGGGTGGGAGGAATCATATTGTGAATGAGGGGAGCGAGTGATGGGGACCCAATGCCCATCTGTAGACAACTGGGCATCCCTTGCAGAGGGGTAGTGGGGAGGAGATGAGTCACTCAGGGTGCAGTGTAGCATTAATGAAATTCACAGCCTTCCTCTGGTTCTTAAACGCTTCCTCCCCCACACTATCATGATCCCAATTCTACCTTGCAAACTTGGTGAGACCAGAGGATGCACAACAGTGCAGGACCAGCGGTGAGAGTGGTGATACGGAGAGGGAAGGAGGGTTATAAAGGGGGAACCGATTACAAGTATCTACATATAACCTCCTCTCTGGGGGATGGGCAACAGAAAAGTGGGTGAAGGGAGACACTGGGCAGTATAAGATAGGATAAAATAATTTATAAATTATCAAGGGTTCATGAGGGAGTGGGGAGGGAGGAGGGAAGGGGAAAACGAGCTGATTCCAGGAGCCCAAGCGGAAAGCGAGAGTTCTGAGAATGATGAGGGCAACAAATGTATAAGTGTGCTTTACACAATCGATGTATGTGTGGATTGTGATAAGAGTTGTATGAGCCGCAATAAAATGATTTAAAAAAAAAGAATTGGTGTTTAAAGTATGGAAGTCCTTGTCAATTTTAATGGGCTGTAGCAGTTTACAACTCCTTTTTATAGGCCAAAGTATTAAGAGTTATGAATACAACCTTTATCATCTATATGTTGTGTTGTCTCTTATTAAAAAATTAACAATTTTTCTGTGGGTGTGGGTAATGCAGAGTGGAAGGGGTGGTATTATAAAATGCATTTTTATTTAATCTGCTAAAAATCAACAAATAACATTTAAGGAGATAAGAAATTTAGAACTTATCATGGAGATATTAATACACTACTGAAGCACTTAGATACAATTATCAGAGGTCCAAGATTTTTCATAGCTTTGCACAAGTTTCCAAGAATTCTCAGTTTATGAGCTTCTCCAACTTTACTTAAGAGTGCTGGGTATTAGAGAATGTCATTCACGTGTTTGTGGAGTTATCCTATTTTCTTCAAATATTAGTTACTACAAAAACTAGAGCATTTTCATCTAAGATTCTGATCTGATTATTCATAAAACAGCCTAAACTTTAGAATCTCCAGATCCTATATTGCAACAAAACTCAGAAAATAATTCTTTTTCCTCTTTAAAGGAGTTTTTTAAATATTTCTGTACTTCAGAGTAATTATGTCCAGTTTTATTTTTAAAGTATTACAGCATCTAAATGTAATTTACCTGCTTTGTAACTAATGTTAGCATTCTGTGATCAGTTTTAAAGGATTGTTATACTGTATTCTATTTGTATCCTATAGTAATTTATTTGAATTTTAAAGGGAATTTGAATACAATTTGGCAATTTTTATGACCAGTAATTTCATTAAAGTAAGATTTTACTTGTAACCTCATGACATGCTTCCTCTGTTCCATGTAACAGATGGGGATCATCTGTGGTTTACTTTATGGGTAGGGAAAAGTAATTGATCTCTAGTAGCATTCAGACCTTGAAGAGTGTACGAATTGTTTAGAATCCACTAAATCTAAACTGCTCTTCCAACCAACTATGCGAGAGAAGGTGTTGATTACAAAAGTACATGAAACCTCACTCTTACTACTTACTGGCTGTTAAGAGCCTCGTTTTGCTTCCTTATTCATTGTACATAAATGAGACTGCCTGGTGATTTATATTTGGGATATTGAAGAATTTCAACATGATCACTAGCAATGTGCACCTTTAAAATAAATGATGCTGAAGTGTTTACATTGTGGTAGAATAGATTTCCATTCATAAATTGTCCTAATGTCAGAGGTTAAAGTATTGACTTCCTTTTTATGTCTTACTCCAGGAACATTTGCCGAGTTCTTACTATACCTGGCACTTGATTGAGATAACTAATGAGAATTTTTATATTCCAGATTTTGATTGTTTAGCTTTGAAGTAGCCATCCTTTTATACCTTAACTTCTACTTGTTCTTTACTTATTAGACTATTCTTCTGAGGATGAGCAGAAAAAATAAATTTGAGTAGATCCTAGATTTTTACTTTTAAACAGGAAGCGGAAAGCAGTAGCTTGAATGAGATGTAGGTTTTCTCGTGTTTAATTTTCTACGTGACATTTCTGCTAGCATTGCTGCTTGACTGCCATGTGTAAGGAGCTATGTGTTTACTAGTTTTGTTATAGCATCTGTTCTTTTGGAGTCTGGACTTGGAACAGCTAATTTCACAGGGTCATTGGATAGTCAGTTCCTATTCTCTCTTACCTAGAATTTTTCCAGATTTCACATGGCAGTTAACAGAAGAAAAGTCATTTGCGTAACTTTTCTGTTATATTTATATCCTTTCCCCCCCGGGATCCCTTCTCTTTCTGCTAATTGACTAGCAGCACACTGGATTCCTATCATCCATTTATGGTATGCACAGGGATGGTGTAACTTTATCCAAAGAGCTTTAAAATGGTATGTTCTGTATATTCCTAGCTATAAAATAATCTTTATTAAATCACTCTTTTTTTAAGGTAAGCGATGAAGGAAAATAAAATATGAGAAAATTCTATAGTATTATTCAATTTTGGACCACCTAAATTTTAGACATTGTTTTATATGTCATTTAACCATACTTTTAAAATATCCCAAAATGTCAAGCATAGTCAGCATTAAACTTCTAGTCCATTTGGAAATTTGTTATGTGAGATAATCTGGATTTTAATTTTTTTAGTAAAATTAAATTTACTTGACTGTGCATGTAACACAGGGTGGATTAAAAAGTAAAGATTGTACATTTCTGCCCATTTTCAAAAGTAGGACTGGAAATAATTTTAACAGCTTTTTATTTTCTTAAAAGTAAAATGAATTGCTGTGAAAATTGATTTTTTTCATTGAATTATTTATTACATTGTTGATGTTTCCAGAAGAAGCTTTCTTACGCATGAGAGATATACTTGATGGACTAGTAATCAGATGCAAACTTAATTTTATTGTCTAGATAAAAGTTCATAATTTTCCTGGAAATGAGGAAGATTTAATCAGAAGATTTTTTGGAAAAAAATAGTATGGGAAGAATGTATGCAAATAACATCTCACTCCTGTTTGCGAGTCAATTGCAAGTTAGTGCATGCTTCAGAGAACGAGAAAATGGATGCGAAATTTTCCTAACTTGATTCCTGACCTCTTTAAAAATATATGAATATATGTATGTGTGTATAGATTTTTAAAAGTTAAGTCTTCTTCCCTTTTTTAGCCTTAGATTGTAAGCAAAAGAAATCAAGGTCAAGATCTGGAAGCAAGAAAAAATTGCTAACGTTACCTCATGGTGCTGACGAGGTTTACATTCTCCGCTGCAGGTATTTATTGCTAAATCTGTTCCGGTTCTTACTTGGTGTGGAGATGTATGACTTGTTGTGTGCTGCGGGGGTTTGAATTTGTGGGATAGGGTGCCACTTCTCAACAATCAAGTTAGAAAGAACTTTTGGAGAAAAGCTTAAATTATACTATCCTATACTTTTTTTAATTCCCGCTCTTCCTCATCCCTTCCCATGTTCCAAGCCCTCCAGCTATACTACTATCCCTTTAATATAGAAGATAGTGGACTTTATTTTTAAAAGTGAGAATTGCGGATTTTACTTTATTGAAGAGACTTAAAATTTTTTGTTTTAATTATTTGGTTAATTTGGTTTAACACACACACCAACTGTCTTAAGTTCTTTGTTGGGAATACATTTTTTATAAATATGCTATATATATATATTCATATTCATCCTCATTCACACCCCCTCTTCATACTCATGGTACATACACCAAAAACATACGCAGAGTAAGGAAATCTAAACTAGAAAAGCACCTTCCTAAGTAGTGAAGCATTTTGGAATTATAGTTGTTAATTGAAATATTGGATAAATATGTTAATTGAATATCTTGGATAAATATGAAGACCTTTGAATATATTTTAATCTTATAATAATACTCTCACAAAAACAAACCATACCAGAGTCTTATAACTGCTAAGCATATAAATTGGGGATTGTACTATTGTATTGAATTACTTTAACTTCATATTTATTTAGATACTTCGTCACACAGCCTCTCATATGTGTTCATGTTCACTCCTCATGCTTGAAGTGTTTTTAATAAAGGGAGCTGGACATGTTATGAGAACTGTTATCAATTTCTTCTGTAGGTTTTGTGGCCTAGTCTTTCGAGGACCATTGTCTGTACAGGAAGACTGGATTAAGCACTTACAACGGCACATTGTAAACGCTAATCTTCCACGGACTGGAGCTGGCATGGTGGAAGTCACGTCACTACTTAAAAAGCCTGCTTCCATTACAGAAACTTCATTTTCTCTACTAATGGCAGAAGCAGCTTCATAGAACAAGGAAACCTTTTAACTAGCAAATTTGAATTGGATGTAAATTTGAAATTCTTTCTTTTTTTTAAAGCCACATTAAATTATTCGTTTATAAATACTAAAGCAGGAAAATGGGGAAAAGCGAATTACAGTAAACAGCGCAAATTGAGTACTTAAAACAGTAAGTAGTCTATATATTTTATATAGGGTGGAAGATGTGTTTTTAAGGTTTACTACGTTTTGTCACTTGTGTTCACTCGATAAAAGATAACATGTAAGCAGCCATTTATAAACTGTTGTACATGGATACCTATTGACAGACTTATTGGAAAATTATGTTTTCTTCAGTGTTACCAGAATCACGGCTGTGTTTATTCCCCACAAGACTTGCATAGCAAAATAAGATATTATATTTTGTTTGTATGTACTTAGTGTTTTGTATAATACCAGGAACCGCTAACTAAATTTACTCAACTTAGGGCATTAAATATCATGTACTTCATAGTTTGAGACTGTTCACTCAAATAGGGCAATGAGTACTATTCTATATAGATGTGTAAGTGTTTTTTTTTAATCACGAAACGGTTTTTTTTATACTAAAAAGTGGAGGGAGATTTGTTTAAACAAATATTTCTAAAAGAAATATGTACATAGTCCTGGAAATTATTTGTGGTAAGGAAATATTCTTTACTCCAGTTGCATTTCTCAGACAATACAGTGGTGCATCCATGCTACCTCCTACTTTGTCAACAAAGATGCTATTTACCCTTTACATTTTTGTATCATAATAGATTCTAAAAAAATCTAATGTTCTTTATTGCAAGACATCCTTTTGTTAACAGACTTGTTGCTCTTTAATGTTTTATCTAAAATTTGACATGCTTACAGGACAGGTTTGCCTCCTTATTTAACATTGTAGAAATGTAATTAATAAATGATGCTCACTACACAATTTAGAATAGACTTTCTCATTTATATTCTCTTCCAAATTTGATCAGTTAGCAAAACTTAATACATCGATTGACATATTTCTACTTATGATGAGAATGTTTACAATATAAATTTTAGAACTTGTTTTGGATGTAATTATATGTACGAAAATCATGTAACACTATGCTCATGCTAAGAACCGACATAATGGAATTAATGAAATAAATGTGCTGTGAGGAATGGAAAAAATGGTGCAGGTGTCTTGGTCATGATAAATTGTGATTTTCCTTTTGAACTCTTTCCAAAAACAAATTAGTTCCTTTAGTTTGAAAATAGATTATTTTATAAAAAAGGGTTTTTGTATGCAAGCACCATTTCATTTTATTTCATGTACTGTGGCTAATACTATAGTTGAGCCAAGGATATGCATCGATACTTTCTTCATCTGTAAATAAAGTTAAAAACAGTGAAAATCAGGAGTATTTTGGTAGAGTATATATACATACCTCACTGCCAGTGAAATTGCTTTCCTATGGTATATATCTCCTTACCAGAAAAATCTCTAAATAAAAAAAAGGCTTAAAGAAAACCATAATGTCTATAATGTGAAGCATTTTTTAAATTTTTATCATTTCACAGGTGGAAGTAGTCTATTTGAGTGTGACTTTAATTTGATTTGAAATGTTTCTATTTAGGAGGTTGCTTTATTCACAGGACAGTTTTGCCAGAAGCACTGCAGATGTCAGTATATAATGTCTTTGAGATAGGTCATGTTTTACTTTATGACTATTCAAACCTCTCATTCCAGAACCACCTTTTAGGTAAAATTAGGAAGTCAAATTAGTCAAGGTTTTTTAGAGTAAGAGAAACTATAGATTTGGCCATAGGAAGAGTAAAGATTGAGAGAGTTGTGGCACAGTGTCTACTCATAGTCTGGAGACAGAATGCTCCCTAGGGAAAACGCCTTTTCGTTCTTAGGATCTTCACCTGATTGGTTCACATTTACCCACATTGTGGAAGTGAAAGTCACTGCCATCTAGTCACTTCCAGTTCACAGTAACTGTACAGGCCAGAGTTGAGCTGCTCCGTGAGGTTTCTGAGGCTGTCAATCTTCACAAAAGCAAACTGCCTTACTTTTCTCCCTGGGGTGGCTGGTGTGAGTTGAACCACCAACCTTTCCGTTATACAACTGTTTAACACCAACCGATGTAATCACATGTAACCACTTCATAATAACAGTAACTAGACTAATGCCTTTGCTATTCTACCTACCCAAGTTCATACTTAAAATCACACGGTACGAGGTCAGGGAAAAGCAATTGTATGTTATTTTCAAATTTTCAGGAGATTAAATGGAAATTGTACATTTGCCCATAATGATAAAGTATTAGGTTTAGTTGGAAGACATTAAAGAGTCATAAAGAAGACATTCAAAGAGTTCATGGAAAAATTCCATATCTTGTAGCGCCACTTCTCCATAAATTCTTTGAAGTGGAGTTCAACAAAGCAAAACTATAACCTAGGGTTCCTGGTGGTACGGTTAGCAGTCACGAGGGCCCTTTTCAACGCGAATCTTTACAATTAGCATGATTTTATCTTGTTGAGCCAACTGTCAACATGTGTGAATAGAAGTACATAGTTACACTTTGTAAGTTTCAGAGTCAAATCTAAATAGTTTGTTTTTATTATGTTGAGCTATATGTAAAACATTTATTTCTCCTCCTAGATATAAAATAATTAAATCATCAAGAGAATAAAGTCATGTTAAACATGAGGAATTCCAGAAAAGTAAAGTAAACAAAGAGCATTTTTCATAATAAGGATATTGGAGTGATACATTTTAAAGAATTCTTTAAGAAATATTCAAAGTTTTTTATTTTTTAAAAAGAAAGTTAATATATTTTCATTTGGCTTCCAATAGAAAACTATAAAATATTATCACAAGGAACATTGTAGTTCTTCATGTTCAGAATTTGACTACATTAGTTAATACTCAGTATTAATAAATATCTTTTTAATTTAATTTTTTTCTTTTTAATTTTATCATTGCTTAGTAGTTGAGCTTCTCTGTAGCATTAGGTGTTTTCATTTTTGTATGTTTGTTTTGATTTAGTCAGTAAGAAAGGTTGAGTATTGACTAGCAAGCCAAAAATATTTTCTCCAAAATGTAATATTTTCCACTATTCTTCTTTATTGTACATTAAAACTATGGCATGAATCATGTCTCTGTTTGAGATTTCACTCATATAATTATGGCTTTGGATGATTGCACATATTTGGTAGTAATTTCATAAGAAAACGTTTCTGAAGAACATAAACACATAAGCTCTCAGGGACTGTGCAGTTGGAGCATATCAGTCCAATGGATAACTGGTGTTTTCCTCATTATGAAAGTCAAAACTATATGCTCATTTTATGAATATTAGAAAAAGTGGGGGGAATCTCCTGTGGTATTATCAAAGACAACTACTTTTTAAAGTTTGGTACATTTCTCTTGTCTTATGGTTTCAATATCATTATGATCATAATGTATTAAATATCCTGTTTGCTAAAGCCTTTTAAGATTTGAGAGCTGCATTATAGAGGGAGGTGTGTACTATGTTGGTGTTATTTTGATTATCAAAAATACTCAAATAGTGGAATGCTTACAGAGACAACAATAGTAAATAAAACTTATAGAATTGATAACCTCTTATTGTGTGCTTCTTAGATCACACCAAAGCCAAAATGAACAAAGAATAGATGTAATCTAATAACTGACTATCTCTTTGGTTTTTTGTTGTTGTTAATAAAATATTAGACAAGAAAAAATATTTCTCCCACATTAAAATTTTGTCATATACCCTCCTAGTTATTTTTCTGGTTATAGACCTGATTTTCCTTTGTTTAAAAAAAAATGAGGTCGTGCTATGTAGAGAATGACCCTTTCTTCTCATAGAAGTAGATCCCCAAGCTTTTTCATAATACTAAGTATTATCTTAAATATCCTTTTAATTTTTACATAATGTTGCACTGTACCTTACACTATGCTCCCATTGGTAATCATTTTGTGTTGTCTGCGGGTTTTTGGAAAGAGTGCTTTTGATGAACACCTTTGCAATAAATTTTTGTTCACATTCTAAATTATTTTCTTACAATTTTTTAGTAGTGGAATTGGTAGATCAATGATTTGGATATTACCCACATATTTACGGCTATGTGTAATTCCCAAATTGTATCCAGAAAGATCATATAACTATATACTTCTACTTGCAGTGTATGGGAATTGCTTACGATTCTTATCTCACCCTTACCAATGTATTCTTTAAAACAAAATAAAACTTTGCTTATTTAATAGGTAAAAAGTAGTATCTTTTTTTCTAACTTTAAGGTTTAAAATATGAACAAGCATGTAACTGTTTTGCTAGATGATGTGCTAAAATAATTTTAGCTCTGATTTAGTAGTTGGCTACTGGGACAACCAGAATAAATGCTTCTTAACTTGATTTCCAAGATATTTTTGGCTATTTTAAAATTTGTTTCAATTTTTTTGCATGTGTGTGCCTTAAGTACATTTTTCTGAAAATTCCATAGTAATCATCAGATGCTTAGAAAAATAATAGTAATGACTATTTTGAAAGCAACATATGTCACCAAATTAATCGCCAAATGGTTTATGATTTTGCATATAATGCTAGACAGATTCTAACCATATTAACCATTGAGTCCTTTGGCATAAGTCTATTTGTTTTCCTGTGATTGGAAAAGAGATGGTGTTAAAGGTGAATTGTATATTTTCTGGAAAGGTTGGGATAAAAATATGATTTAGGTACAAATTTGGTTGTAAACTTAATATTTTATGTTAGAAAGCTTTACATCTAGTTGTTCCTTACAGTTAAGGTTGACCCATGGGATTTATTTTTCTTTTGGTTAGTTTAGCAAATTACAGCAAATGCTTTTAAGCAATGGGCTCTGGCTAATTTTTTGGCTTGTTTCTAACTTAGTACATTTTGGAGTATATTTTAAAATTCACTATACCCCGTTTCTTTTTCAGGAACCTAAGAGGGTAAGTCAAAAAGTATTCTAACTAGAATCTAAGGATTCCAGTCCATACATGCACAGTGTATTCAAACAAAAAATGATTAAATATGTTTCCACCCTTCGTGGATGTCTGCAAACAAGTTCTCTCAGTAATACACTTGTCGTAGTGTCCTTTGGGTGTCTTCTTAAAACAAAAATTACCTTTTATGCTTCAGCTTTGAGGCGAAGACTGAAAGCAAATTTTTAATCAAGCCCAGTGGACAACTTTTTCAAGCACTGAAGCTTTGTAAGAAGGCCCTGGAAATGTGACCCCACACAGAACAAGAGCTTTTCCGCGGCTTGAGGAAGGCCAGGAAGACCTCAGAAATGAGCCTCGAGAGGGAAATCATCCACCTTGGCGAATAAAGAGCCTGGCAAAAATCCAGAAACTGGTGGGAGACAACCAAAGAATTAACAACTGAGGTTGGCATCTCACATGGCTTGGCGCGTTCAATTTTTCACAAAAATCAGCTGATCTTTTCATCTGCGTTTTAAGCGAAATCAAGCGTTCAAAGATTATGTTAATGGAATTAGCCATAACTTGAGATGAGTGTTGGATATAACAATAGGATTCGGAGAGCTAGGTCTAATCAGCTCAGCGACTTTGGCCAGGATCTGCTAAACTCAAAAACTCTCAGTCATCGAGTCAATGCTAACTCATAGCGACCCTGTAAGACAAAGTAGAACTGCTATGGGTTTCCAAGATTCTATGACTCTTTGCTGCAGTAGTAGAAAGCTTCATCTTTCTCCTGTAGAGCCACTGGTGCTTTTGAACTGCAGATCTTGCTAGCTGCCCAACACATAATCCCTATACCACCAGGACTCCCCAGGGATCTGCTAGGCCAGCTAAATTCAAAGAAGAGAGGTCAGCTTTGAAGGTGATGACAACTACTTCTTAGAGATTCCACGGGATAATCTTGATAGATTTTTCTCAAATGAAACAGAATGATCACGGGAGCTTATTATGTAGAAGTTACAAGAAAATGGAAAACTACATATGTGACAAAACAGCCAGGGAAATTGCACCAATGTGTTTTCCCCCCTATTAATCATGATAGTGCACTTGCTCATTCTTCAGAGGGAGCAAGGGCTGTCCTTGCAATTTTTGCTGGAAAGCTCGCCCTGTCTACCTTGCAGTCCTGATCTTGCCTCTGTAGGCATTTTGTTCCCAAATCTCAACATTTCATAGAAACACATGATTTGAGTTCCATGAGTTGCCAAAACTGTTCTTCAAGAGTGCAGAATTCTGGGGAAGACTTAAAAGGAAACAGCCCTTGGAAGTTTATAGACTTCTTAAATGGAAGATATATCAAGAAACAATTGCTTCCCATTTTGATTTCTTCATTTAATGGTTCAGTGATTATGTAGCAATATTTTAAATTTATTCTCATAAATATCTCTTACAAGTATGATAAATTTGTGCTCATTTTCCTTGAAATTAAGTAACCTAGCATATCGTGTGAATTTTGCCGTCTTTTAGCTCTTGCTTTATTGTATTGATGCTTAACTTTCATATGTTCTTACACTGTCAAAGCGCTGTAGTACAAGATTGACAGCTAGAAGAATTCCTGCCCTGCTCCAGATTTTAATGGGGAAGATTTGCCTGTTTAATCATTAGCTATGCTTTTACCAAAAGTTTCTCAAAGATGGAATTTTATCAAATGAAAAAATTTATTTCTTGCTGGATAAGCTATTTTGCTTAATTTTAACAAGATATGAATTATGAATTTTAATTGTCAAATGATATTTCTCCTTTATTTGTATATCATTGACTTTTTAAAATAGTAAACTAACATCTCTGGGGTGAGTCTTTTTCCTTAGAATAGTGTTGTTATTATTATTTTTTTTAAGATTTAAAATTTTTTTCTATACAATTTGTACATAGTATTCCCTTACAAGTTATGTAATCTCCATATTGTTAGCTCCTCTTTGATTCTAGCATATCTTTTTTCCTTTGTAATTTAACTTGCTGAAAGTAATGTCTGAAGATTTTGTGTGTTTTTATTAGCCCTTTAAGATGTGCTCTTGATATTCATCAACTCTCCATTTTCAGCTTCTAAGGCTTATGGCTTCATTTACTTTCAGCCTTTCTGGTCTTCAAATCACATACGTGTGAGGCTATGTGTTTTCCTATGCATGTCAACTTGACCACATCCCATGGCTCTGGTCTTAGAGAACTGCTGTTACTATTCATTTATTAGCTTACATTTCAGATTGTTTTGCAAATTTCTCTGTTAATTCATTGTGTTTGAAAATAATAAGTAATCTCTTTTGGGGGGTGCCTAAAGCTTGTGTGTGTGTGTGTGTGTGTGTGTGTGTAAAACGTATGGAAGATATATATATATATCTTATACACTGTACTTAACCTGTCATATTCTGAGTGGTATGTATGTAAGGACTGATGGTTACTGTGTTCGTTTTGTGTGTTAGGCAGTGTCCTCTAGGGAAGCAAAACCAGGATGCTTGTGATTTTACATAGGTAGATAAATGTACATAGTGAAAACCAATATAACAATACAAAAAGCTCAGTCTGATTCACTTTCATGAGTCAGTTAATATACTGAAGGTTTTCCAGCTCACATGGCCACTAACCCAAAGCCAGGAAAATGGGTGGTGAGGTGTAGCAGCTACCAGTAGCACAGCATGGGGAAACAAGTGGCAGTGGAGCCTCAAAAGTGTAGCCATGCAAGGTGGCTTGCTAGAAGTGCAGCATCCAGAGTGGTGACAAGATTACCAGAGTCAACCCACAGGCAGCAGATACAACCAGGTGGAGCTGCGCTGCAGGGTTGAGCAGCAAGGCACACTGATGTGGCAGTGTGGAGTGCTACAGGGCCACAGGGGCCACAGGTAGCACAACACATGTGACCGAGGCAGGGTAGCTGGATTAAACAGTGTAGTGGTCCTACTACAAGAGGTTGGGAAGTGGGGGGGAGGGGGGGGGATTCTTGAGTTCTCTGAAGTCTCTCTCCCCATCCAAGGCAAAGAGGACACAGTCTTCCCGTTCATCTCCTTTTTGATGTCGAGGAGGCTAGCACTATTACATAGGGGCCAGAACTGTTGCTATTGCTTTTCCCCAGGAACTGAAAGATTACCGAGTCACACTCTCCCTGGGATGTGCTATGTAGCTTCAATATATATGGAAAGCTTCATTGCAGTTCTCTTTTCTCTAACCATTCAGCAGAGCCATAGGCGGCACTTAACATGCACACCAGTTGCCTGTAAGTCCCAGAGCAATTTGACTTAGAAGAAGCTAAAACTTTAGTGTTGGATGCGAAGATAAGGAAGCTCATATGATGCCCCCCATGGTCCGATAATACCCTTATCTTTAAAACTTTTATCTAACACTCATTTCAATGTTCTGTATCCTTTCTTCCCATGACACACAGACCTTAGTATCTTTACTTCCCTCCCATATGACAACCTCTTATTCTGTAATCACCCAAAATTTACACATTATTTTTCAGTCAATGCATTTTATCCCTTAAGGTGTTCTTCTTGTGCAAATGTAGTATTTGCATCATTTCTTCTTGCAGTCTACACACACACACACAGAAAGGACCTATGGATGGTAAGCTATCATGAGTCTATATATCTGAAGTTTTACTTAATTATTGTTTGAGGGCAGA